GAGGTAGGGGTCAACATGTCACAATATATATATATATATATAAACCATTAGGCTTCCCAATTGTTCATTTCTCTGTTGCTAACAGGTTTCGATATATCAGAATCCTCCCCACTCATATCCAGTTTTTAAAAATCACATTGACGTGCGTAGATTAACAAAGATTTTGTACATATCTGACAGATATCAGCAGGGAGGATTCTGATATATCGAAACCAGTTACCAACGGAGAAATGAACAATTGGGAAGACTGGTGTTTTTAAATTTTTAACTATGTGCAGTGTAGCAGCTACATGAGAGTATACACCTGATGATGGCCATTTACAGCCGAAACATGTAGTGCAGAAGAAAGGAAGATGAAAGAACTATAATAAATTGTTTCACTTAGGACGGAGTTTGTGTCATATATCGTGTAGAGTGTAACAGGATGCTTAAATATAATATTATATGTTTCTATTTCTGCCAACAACTTCAACTGTAATCATTCCTGCTCCTTCTTATTCATACCATAAACAACTTTTTCCATATTCTAAATATTCTATGCTGGAAATTGTTTCTTAAACATCTCTTGCACTCACCACAGTATCGAGAGGAAGCGGTCTCCACTTGCTCTTTGGTTTGCTTAGGACATTTTCTATTTTGGCTAAGGGTTGCTCCCTACATTTATCATACAAAACCTGACAACTCAGTTGCTCAAACAGGTGAACTCGTTTCCATCGGAAATCAACAGACAGATCATCGATTCTATGTGTCACTAGAAGAAACAAGAACTTAGTCACACCAATTAATGTCATCACAGTCTGATAGCAGCCACTGTCCAAAAGTAAACAACCATCACCACTATTCAGAGAAGCTTAGAACTTCCACACTGAATTCTAGATACAATCTGCCCATCTTAATGTTATGATCAACTATGTAACAATGACTGTTATAAAAACATAAAGGTAAAAAAGGTAACATCCCTGTGTTTAATTAACTAAGTACCACACCATGAAGATGTGAGAGAGAGTGGAGGTTCAGCTCCACCAATCTTGACCTTAGCACTAGATGGAAGTGAGAGGTCGGCTTCATGCTCCTGCTGCTTTACCCTCAGCGAAACAGCCCCCTTACTCATTGGATAGATGGCTCCGTGGACCCCACAGCTGGTCTGGGCATTATGGAGAAGAAAAGTCTTACCCTGCTTGGAACTGAACCTTGGCCATCCAGCCATAGCTATATAGACTAAGATATCCTGACTTGTTACAAAGACAAAAGAATACAAGAGATATATGTAAGAAAACAACATATACACAGGTCCAGTAAATGTCTATAAAAAACTAACATCTTTTCATAATTTGAAAGAAAATCTTTGTCTCTTGTAAACTGAAACCTATAGAAAAATCCATGTTTTAAGGTTTACCTTTGGGACATGACTACTGTACCTTATATCTGTTGTTAATCATCAACATTTTCATCAGACTAAAAATGAATGGGCCAATATTTTATATGAGTCCAGAAACTACATCTAATGCTGTGTGATCACCCAACTGCATAACTACTGGTGCTTAAGTCAACCTCTTTGCTTTTGTACCCATGTTCTAGTTTTAAATACAGATTTGTAATATATGTCCAATATTCATGCAACTTTCAAATTTCAACATAAAGTACATGTGAGGCTGAAATTAACCATGGAGTTACCCAGAGTATGCAAAGAATGCATAACATTGGCATGTAGCTTCTACTCACATTCACTTGAAGTAAACAAGATGACAAGCAGACTTCAGGGTCTATTTCAGTGAATAACAATGACATATATGAGTAAATACCGTTTTACACGAAAGGGAGATGCTTCCTGCCCACATATAGAAATGTGTCTGCACATAAAATGTGATTATATGAGACAACTTCATACATCTATTACAAGAAAACATGTGACAGGTACTAAATATATGAAAATATTGTGACATGACACCGGAAACCTGGAATAGTAAAGTCAAAGAAGAAGACTATTGCTAGTAATGGTTGGCTAAACATGTTCCAAGTGTCCTGCTGTCAAAAAATACACGTCCATTGCTGGGCAGTGGAGTTGGCAGCCACAGTAGTGCAGGTGTAGTCAGCACAATGCAGACAAACACAGTACTGGAACCCTTAGAGGTGGTGATCTCTATTTGGTTCTCTTGAAGTTATAACATACAGAGCAGTTTGCCCGATGTGAGAGTGATATGTGAGACAATCAGTCACAGCTGAGAAGCCATGAGTCTAGGACATGAAGCCATCACAGGAAGGAGTTGTGAGGATTCAGCTGTGAAGTGTTATAGGACGTTGAAGACCTTATTTGATGTGTTATAGTTAAATAATCTTCGAGTGTTATAATTACATATTTGTAGTTACGACTTGTGAGTATCCAATAAATTGATCCAAATTCCATCTACAAGTCACTAATACACGATAATATTACATATATTAAGTCAGCATCTTCTCTCTCAAATTTTGTTTTCACTGTTGTCACTTTCATCACCTTCATTATAATATAGCTTTGTGGGGAATTACAGCTTCTGATTACTAGCTCTGGTGGGTCTCATGGCTCCTGGCCTTGAAAAATATGCCCTTTTCTCTCTCACTTGCTATGCAGACAGAACTATAGGGCTCATATGTTATTATTTACTACATCTTAGAAACATTAGCCCACTAAGAGCTGAAAGTGTTTAACGACAACCAGCACATTTTTTGCACCTTAACTGAAGATAATCCTTCATAATCTAACTCTAAAAACACAGGGCCTCCTAGTCTTTCTTTTGGATAAATATTATACTAAATCAAAGCACAGATTTCATGCAGAAACAGGATTTCCATTCTTTCCACACAGGCAATGCATTAAAATGAGACATATTAAATGGGAGAAAATCATACTTTCTTTATATGGGGCTTCTGCTGGGACCACAGAAAATGAACATAAAATGGTGGACTCTCTTAGACTGAGATACCTTAAATTGGGATCTACTGCATCTGGCTTCAAGTCATCTGTATCCTCTAAGCAATGTGTAAAACATAAGAAAGCTGAAGGTTAATGGGTCAAAAATCTTATTTAACAGTATATGTTCACAGTCATGTGTTACTGGCAATGGCTGTGATAACTTCTTATAGAAAGGAGATTCAGGTATCCCTATATATATAAGTTTCAGCCCCATACAAAGCGATGCTTATATATTTATATATATACACACATATATAAGCATCGCTTTGTATGGGGCTGAAACTTGGACACTTAGGGCAGTAGATCAGAAACACCTGGAAAGCTTCAAAATGGGGTGTTGGAGAAGGATGGAGAAGATCAGTTGGACCGATTATGTGAGAAAGGAAGAAGTGTTATTTAGAGTCAGTGAGTAGAGGAATATCCTACACGAAATAAGAAAACGGAAGGCTAATTTGATTGGTCATATCTTACGCGGTAACTACCTTCTAAAAGAAGTTATTGAAGGAAAGATAGAGGGGCGGATAGAAGTGACCAGAAGCTGAGGAAGAAGACGTATGAAGCTGCTGGATGACCTTGGGGACAGAAGAGGATACTGTCATTTGAAGGCGAAAGCTCTAGATTGCATCAAGTGGAGGAACTCTTTTGGAAGAGACTGTGTACCTGTCGTCTTGACAGATTACAGATGAATGAATGAATAAGACACATGAGGACACTAGAAGAAAATACAGGGTTATTCAAAAAGAATGAACCGATTTTATTACGCAATATTTTATCAAAGGAAAGTAATACAAAACTCCAGCCAAGTCACAAGTATTCTACTCACAATCAACTTTTATTTCCTGTGTTAGAAGTGTTCAATGTGGCCACCACCTGCAGCACGGGCAACATCAATGTGATAAGAGAATTCCTCCCAGGCGCGTATCAGCATATCACGATGCACTGAGTTAATCGCTGTTGTTATTCGATGGTTAAGGTCATCGAGGTTATTTTACATATCCCCACAAGAAGAAATCACACACGGTGAGGTCCGGGGATCTCGCAGGCCAAGCACAAAGAGCAAGCTTTGGCCCCCTTCCGACCAATCCATCGCTGGGGCACTTTTTTCATTTAAAAAAGCTCGGACCATCAGGTGCCAATGGGGCGATGCTCCATCTTTTTGAAAAATGAAGTCATGCGAATCTGTTTGCAGTGAAGTAAATAGCCAGTTTTGGAGCATATCGAGATAGGTTTGCTGAGGACTCGCCATTCCGAGGATAAACGAACAACTGAACGTTGCCGGCAGAATGACGCGACTTCAGCGCCCCTGTGGTAGCCATTCACAACTTAGATTACTCCTCTTTCAAATGGTCACTGACTCATTCCATGACGCTACTTGAGAACTGAAGCAATGCGTCATGAAATCGGTTCATTCTTTTTGAATAACCCTGTATATACCTCAACATAATAAGCCAGCACACCTGTATGGATTGACAAAAGTCTATGAACATGACATACCACTCAAACCTAACTCCACTGATTCACCCTTCCATGCTTTGGAGAAGTAATTGTGAACGTTCTTTGCTCTCTTGCCACTGTATCAGAATCCACTGTCAAGAACTATGAACATCTGATCCAGTGCAAAACTATTGATATCAATAACAGTGACATTCTACTCACTGTTTACTTTACGAATTTTCTGACTGATGAAGCTCTCATGGTCACCAAAGCTCTATTAACTTTAGAATTCAACCTGTCTCAATGTTTTAATCATTGAAACACATGCAACACTCATGACTTTATACCAATATCATATTGTGGCATACAGACCCACTGCTAGGCAGTGACCTCAAAATGGACAAGTACAGCTGTTGCTATGCAATAGGCAGATAAACAAACACCTGTCTCTAAGTAATGGTCACTAAACACATTCTTGTGAAAATGATACTCAGTCTACTGCTAGGCAACCACCCATGACAATAATAGAGGTGGTGTCTTCCATCGGTCCCCACCTACCCTGAGGTCATATAACGAGGACACCATCCAAGCTGAAAGTGCTGTTGGCAGTTCAGTTGAAAGTAACTGGTTGGAGAGTGAGAAAGTTCAGTTGAAAGTCAGCCTGTGTAGAGAAGGCTGCCACCCTGGGACCCACTTAGTTGTCAGTTGACAAGAGTGCTGCACAGGTGGATGTGACAAGAGGACCTGAGTGCGGGAAGCTGAAGGCTCTTACTTGGCAGAAGCCATTGCCAGAAAATGGCTAGCAGAGACTATAACAGACTGAGGACACCAGTCTTTGTGTCAATGATCTCTAATGTGTAGTTCCAAGTGCTGCATACAAGTGGTCAATAAATCCATTCACCAATCCAAACCCTGTCTATAGCCACACCCCTAAATCATGACAATATATATGATACCACATACAACCTCACCCTTAATTTAAATGATTTTTAATGTTTTGTACTAAAGTGTGGAACATATCTTTATGTGAAAAATGGGCCAATTTTATAGAAATTCATCATAACAATGACTCCACATTTATCTACGTGTATTTACTTACTTTCAATCCACCTGATGGTGTTCTATAAAGATCAAAACATGTAGTAGTGTAGTATAACCAAAGCAAATGAATCCTGACATTGTTTCCTTTTTATTTCATTTTTAAGTAACTGTTCTGTAGATGGCTAATACATACAATATATTCCACAACACAACAGGATGCAGAGTATGGAGAACATCACAACCACCTATCTGCAATGGAATAAAATATCAAAATAAAGAAATAAATGCAAGACCACTTAGCTGAACTTACCTTTTATTTTCCAGAATTGTTCAGGAATGAAGTTATTTATTGCATTGAAACGTTCTACAACAAAGCCTAAAGTGGGGAACTGGCAGCTACCATAGCTAATGAGTGAATCACTCAGCTTCTGTGGGAACACTTTCTGCAGTCTTAGGGTTTGAAACCTGGTGAAAGCTGCACCTGAGGAAAGCAATAATTATAGTGAAATCAGAAACAATACCAACAGCAAGTGAAATGCAATATAGCTGGAAAGTTCTTGTTTCATATTTACTAAAGGAAAGACTGAACAATGATACCATAACATCTGTGAGTAAGTGTGAATGCTTTACAGTTACTTTTGGGCCAACGGATACATTTTCATGAATGTGTGCCATCAGAGGGTTCCCCACATTTGCACTTTTTAATTCTGTACCAGTAATCAGATGAACATCTGGGATGTGACTAACACCAATTTAATTTCATGTTGAAGCACAATTACTTTTTGTGGCAGCAGGACTTTGAAAAATATGCAGCTTTCATTAACATTATGTGTTGTGCCCCAGATGGGGGTCAATGACTGTACTCAACCCTACTGAGCATCTGTGGATATTTCTTCCTCTGTCCAGTGAGGTAGTACTGGCCTAAGGGATCCACAAGAACTCAATATCTCAAAACAATAACAACAAAAATAAATATATAATTAAAACAACAATTACATGCATACAACCTACTAACACACATACAATCTTTGATTACACTCTCCACATGAACCTCTTACAATTTGCTAGTCACAGTTGGCTAAACCTACGGGGCCCAAACCAACTTTCTATATCCTAACCATCAATGAACCAGGATCCATACTCTGACAATCAATATATGTAACCAGGCGGCTTGGCTCATCTTGGTTCCATCACTAGACTTAGTTTCCATGAGATCCTCAGCTCGACATACAGCTGTTGGCTAACATGCGAATTCCATCATCCGAGCATCCCCAGGACAGCAAGTATCCGGTGTGTCTGCAGCCTATCATACGTGATCTGTCGCCACTCCTCAGGTGACATCAGCTTGGGCAGGTTTGGGGGTAGCATGTGGCTACTGGGGAGTGGCACATTTATAAATCCGTCCAATACCATCAACAGAATAAAGGCCTCTGAATATAACTGATGATTAATATGTTCCTTTAATATACACGTGTGGGATAATTGAATGTTAAAAGCTTTGAGTGGTGCCATTCACTTTACATTTCTTAGTAACAATAACAGGCGAAGGCAGATTATAAATCCAAACGGGACAATTGCATGTCCTTTCGCCTGAAGCCATACTGAATTAAATTTTTCATCATGAATAAATTCTAGCAAACAATCCTCTTTCTACATTGCTGAAAACTGCTATTGTCAGGAGGGAGTAATATTGCTGGCTTTTGGTCACTGTTACATAAAATGCTTCAGGTTCAATTTACCATATTTACGCATGTATAGGCCGCACATTTCTTGCCAAAAATTCAAGAGGGGTGCGGCTTATATTCGAAATCACACTTCATTTAAAAAAAATTATATTCATAATTAGTAATACAGAGTGTTCTACTCCTGAAATAATATTCCAAGAAAATTATCTTTTCTATAATTTCTGTTTGAAAATTGTGCTGCGGCCTATACATGCGTAAATACGGTATATACATTTGAATAAGTCGGCAGGGTGATTCCTTTTAAAACTTTAAACAAATCATAAGGAACACTCAATAGCAAAAATAACCTGTAGTGGTGTGGGCTGTATCACTAACTGCTATAACTGCATTATATCAAAGTTTTCAACTTCTTACGTCTTTAAAATTTTCTAATACATAAGTTAATTGCTTTTGAATGGCATGAGTTTCTTCACCATCCCTTGTCCTTTCATGTCCTGCTCTAGTATAAAACTCTTGCATTTAATCACCATATTCCAACAATCTCCAGTAACTAACAGTTCATCTTCTTGGAGGAACACAAGTCACTTATTCAATTTGGGGGTATTCCCTATCCCAGTACCTACACCTGTAATTAAACAAAAAAGACTAATCATCTGAATTACAGAACATTTCAAAATTTAAATTTTCCTCCTGGGGAAGGATTGAAGATTATATCGAGGGTGTTGCTTAGTGCCTTCCTCCTGTGCCAGGACACTTCCTGTCTCGGGTAATGCGCTCGGGGGAGGCTCGGCATCTACTGCCTTGGTATCAATCACTTTGCCCTCTGTTTCTGTAGGGATTTCACAGGACGCTACTGTTTTTTTCCCTTGTCTACTCCATAACCAATACCTAGCCTGTTTCTCTTCTGATGTTGGGTGACTTGTTTGTGGACCTCTGAACCTTATGACGTCTACTGGGTTTCCAGGTTGGGTTCTTCGGTCCTCTCATCGGTAAAAGTGGGTGGTGTAAAGACTTCGAAGTGGTCATAGGAGGCAAGTGAGATTATTCTCTCGTCATCACCATGTCCTGACTTTCATCTCCTTCCTGAACCCGTACCAGGATATCCCTAGTCCCATTTTGCGGTGGGGCGGTTTTCACACAACATGTTTCCATTTTGTTAACATTCACCACCAATCCTTTCTCCATTACACTCAAACAAGATAATTCAAATATGCAGTCTCTGTATCACCTCGTAGGGGCCCCTCCACCTGATCCTAAATTTTGGACAGCCACGTTTGACCCTACTCATCTGATGAAGATAAACCATTTCACCAGGTTGGAAAATAACTAATCTAGTTCCCTTATCATACCATTCCTTCTGTCTCTCTCTGCCCGCCTTATTTTCTCTCACAACACGGTGAGCTTCCTTGAGGTGGTTAGCCAAGGTGTCAATGTGGTCCTGAATCAAACTACGGTTATCCCTCGGTTACCCCCTTAAAATTTTGTAGTGGTGAGGTCATCCTCAATGGGAAGGCACATCTGCCGCCCGTGTAACAAGTAAAACAGAATGGGATGCAGGCCATCAGGGCATAGTTCACGAACTCATCCCAGTCATTCCTTATTTATTTACATAATGGCTTGTCTTCTGGTTGAGTACCAGGTGAAATTTCTCAACTTTCCCTTGCATCAGCGGATTCGATGCAGTGGAATTAATTCTTTTCACCTTCAACAGCTTACACACTTCCTGGAAAAGTTCCGACATGAGTTGGACCCTTTATTCGATGACAGTGCCTAAGGACAGCCCAGAAGCGAAAAACCTCTGTAACAAGAGGTCGCGCAACTGTAGGCACGTCCTGCCTAGGTATGGGGATAGCTTCTGGATATCGACTGAAGTGGTCTATAAAGGCAAGATGCTGATTTCCCCTTTTCGTCTCTGGATAAGGACACAAATATCTTACGGATGTCATTTCGAATGGGGAGGTAGCCTCAGGCAGCTCTCCAATGGGTGCAGTGGGGTGTCGCCCTACCTTAAACTTGGCACATGACACACTGCCTCACATACGTTTCTACATCCCGGTCCATATTGGGCCAAAAGTAATTCAGTTTAATTAAGTCTCGGGTAACTCTCCCAAGACTGCAATGGGGTGTCGCCCTACCTTAAACTTGGCACACGACTCGCACTGCCTCACATATGTTACTACATCCCGGTCCATATTGGGCCAAAAGTAATCCAGTTCAATCAAGTATCAGGTAACTCTCCCAAGGATGCATCGGGCTGTCGCCCTACCTTAATCTTGGCACACGACTCGCACTGCCTCACATACGTGTCTACATCCTGGTCCACATTGGGCCAAAAGTAATTCAGTTTAATTAAGTCTCAGGTAACTCTCCCAAGGGTGCAGCGGGGTGTCGCCCTACCTTAAACTTGGCATACGACTCACACTGCCTCACATACATGTCTACATCCTGGTCCACATTGGGCCAAAAGTACAGTGGAACCTCGCTTAATGAGCATAATTCGTTCCAGAATCTTACTCATATTGCAAAACACTCGTTAAGTGAAACAATTTTTCCCATATAAATTAATGCAAAATACGATAATGCGTTCTATGCCGAAAAAATACTCAACAAATTTTATGTATAACGTTTATTCAAAGAAAATTATATATACATTGTTAAGGAGCGTGAATCATCTTCATCTTTTCTTCTATGCGGAATGAACCAACCTGGAATGCGAATTCGATTTGCAGAAAAAAAAAAAAAAATCGAAATAATTAGTTTATTATTTATGATACATATCTAATTCTTTTTTACTAGAAAGCTGTGTAGAGACATTTGTTTTTGCCGACACTTCAAAATTTGGTGAAAATGCAACACAGCATTATCATTAAATAAATTTGTAGCACGCATAGCCACTGCCTTATTAGGGTGATGCTTTTCAATGTATGATGCAACAGTTTCCCATGCTTTCAGCATTTCTCTTATTGGGCCAGAAGATCATTGCTTTGCTGTTACCTCCTCATCCTCTGACAAACTCTCCTCCTCAACTTCTTGCTGTGAAACACAATGCAACTCCATAAGCTCTTCGGTGGTTAGCTCTTGGCTGTGCTCTTCCACAAGCTCATCGATATCATTGTTACCCACCTCCAGCCCCATGACCTTGTCCAAAGACACAATCTCGTTGACTACCGGCTCCACAGGTACTATCTCAAACCCCTCAAAGTCACATTTGACAAAGCTCTCCAGCCAAAGCTTCTTCCAAGCAGAAGTGAGGGTTCTCTTGGTAACCCCTTTCCACGCCTTTTCGATCATCGTGAGGCAGGCAATGATGTGGAAGTGATATTTCCAAAACTCTCTGAGAGTGAGATTGGTCCCTTCAGTCACCTCAAAACAACGTTCGAAGAGTGCTTTAGTGTAGATTCTTAAAGTTAGAAATAACCTGCTGGTCCATAGGCTGGAGTGACAGAGTGGTGTTCAGAGGCAGAAACTGGATCTTGATCAATTTAAATTCTTCAAGGAGGTCATCTTGTAGGTCTGGAGGATGAGCAGGAGCGTTGTCCATAACAAGCAAGACATGGAGTGGCAGATTCATCCCAAGCAAATATTTTTTCACAGAAGGACCAAACACTTCATTGATCCAATCAGGTCAAGTGTCACGCAAGCCTTGTTGTTGGACCTCCACATCACATTTAGCCTGCTCTTCTGGACTTTACACTTCTTGAAGGCTCATGGAGTTTCTGAATGGTAAACAAGCAGCGGTTTAATTTTCAAATCGTCGCTTGCATTGGCACAAAATAGCAGCGTGAGACGGTCTTTC